GGGGGGCGGGGCAGCGACTGGATCGGAGCGTTTTGATTGGTGGTTGGATTTTTTTCCTTCCCTCCCTCGTGTGCGAAGTGCAGCGCTCAGTCCCCCAGGATGACGGTCACAAAGCTAGCCACGTCGGTGTCTTTGGCCTCGTGGGCGGTGAAGAAGGGATGTTGCTGCAAAGAGACGGACACCGGGTCAGAACCATCAGAACATGACAAGACAACAAACACCGGGTCAGAACATGACGAGACAACACACACTGGGTCAGAACATGACGAGACAACAAACACCGGGTCAGAACCATCAGAACATGACGAGACAAACATCAGGCAAGTATTTGCTGCATCTATCTAGTCATGTTGTTTTGTTTCATGGTAGTTTTGCATCAGTTTGGTTATATGAGGGCGGCACGGTGGAGCAGTGGTAGAGCTGTTGCCTCTTAGCGAGAAGGTCACTGGTTCAAATCCCAGCCGGGGACCTTTCTGGGTGGAGTTTGCATGTTCTCTCCATGCATGCATGGGTTTTCTCCAGGTACTCCAGTTTCCTCCCACAGACTAAAAACATGCATGTTAGACTGATGGTAACTCTAAATTGTCCCTAGGTGAGAGAGTGAATGGTTGTTTGTCTCATTTGTCTCTATGTGTCCCTGTGATGGACTGGAGACCTGTCCAGGTGTCCCTGTGATGGACTGGAGACCTGTCCAGGTGTCCCTCGCCTCTCATACAGTGACTGCTGGATATGGGCACCACTGACCCAAAATAAATAAGTGGTAAAGATTATGAATGGATGGATGATGGGTGTTTATCTGAGACTGTGTAGTATTTTTATGGCCCACGAGGCGTGTCGTTGACGTGTTTTGCCCTTTCTGGCTGTGGTCGTGCTCCCTGCAGCCTCCGTGTGTTCATCTGTCTCTGCTGCGCTGTCTGTGTTCTTTGTTCAGACAGGAAGTGAACGACCGCCACCGTTTGGTGCTGTGTGTTGTTCACCAGACATCCTCTCAGAAAAGTCCTCAGCTGGACAGTGACGGTGTGAGAGCGCCCCCCTGTGCCTGAAAGACAACACTGCAAGCCGTCTGTTTCAAATGGAGGAGGACTCACCTTCAGTTCTGCGTAGGTCGGCCGCTCTTTGGCGATTTTCTTTAAGCTGCAGAACAAAACATGAAATTAAAGTTCTGACCCACAGGAACAGAACCATCAGTGTGACTGACACGTTAACATCTGGGTGGTTCTCTTTTTGTAAGAACCCGTTTCCTGTTCAGCGTTTGGAACAAGACGAGGCAGAACTCTTCCTCAACATGTTCGTCCCGTGACGGTAAATCAAACAGGCCTGCGGGGCTGCTGGTGTCATCACTGAACTCGGACACAACCGGACTTTTAAAGAGTTTAAACTGTTTTGCCATTAGTCGTAAACCCAGGATGTTCTAACAGAACTTATTCCACGGTGTGACGCAGCGAAACGAGACCTGTAGACGAATGTCAGAATGATGAGAAAACATTTTTAAAGGTGTCGATGCATCAGATCTAAGCACCAGTAGCTATGTTTACATGCGCACATTTTATTGACCAGATTGAAATGTTTTCAGATTAAATAATTCAAATGTATTGTTTACATGGGCACAATCTGTTCACGACGAGTGTTTACCTGCAGCGGGCTTTGTTCTGAACAGCAGTACTGACATACGCAGAGTGGTAAACTCTCCTTAAAAAAACCACCGAAGAAGAAGTTCTACTTCCGGTTTACTTCTGTGATGAATGTAAACAAAGCTGAGCACCCAAAATGGATCCGCGACAGGTTTTTAATGCCCTTCCCACACTCTTGCAATATTCTAAATAATGTTTCTAAACCCTAAACGCTCTAAAAGACACAGAATGTCATGATTTCAGCTCCCTGCCTCCTCCGCTCTTTGACACCTGCAAGCGCTCTTGGCCACGCCCACTTCTTCGCTCTGCAAGGAGAACAGCTGATCAGCAGCAGCAGGAAGCTTTTTCTGCATCTCTGGGCTGCACAGATGTGCAGCAGGTGCCAAATAAATTTAAAATAATTTATTTTAAATAAAAATCCATGCCGATCGTGCGGCTCATCCATCAATCAGCCAATTGTGTCTTATTTTGAAAAACCGCGATCAAGCGAGTACGTGATAAACGAGCCGTGATGTAGCGAGGGACTACTGTACAGTTGTTACATGACTGATATTGAATTAGTTTTAATCCTGCCCCCTCCTATCTCACTGATCTGCTGCAGCCACATGTCCCACAGCGCTCTCTGAGGTCAGCAGACCAGATGATTTTACTGGTTCCAGACACTCGTTTTAAGCTCACAGCTGACAGAACCTTCTCTGCTGCAAGTCTTGTTTAAAAAGTCACTTTTATTCCCGGGTTTTTGACACTGTGTGAGTTGATGTTAACTTGACTATAATGTTAGTCATTTAGTTCTTATCTTTACTCTGTGGATGTATGGATTTATCCTGTGTCCTTGTTTTGTTTCAGCTCTTGGGTCGGCCTTGCTGCTGGTTGAAGAGCTTCATAAATAAAGTGTTATGGTATATCTGACCGTTTCACACTGTTGGAAGATTTGACTTCAGAATCTTTAGTGTCTTTCACCGACATAAGATCAAATTCCTCCAGAGTGCACATCAGAACTCCTGTTGACCTCCACCGTATCTGCAGCTCAGGGTTTCTCTTCAGAACTTGTTGGACCTCCAACATTAAACAGTTCAGAACTCTTCATCAAATCACATCTCTGTCATCTTCAAACCTCATCTGATGAATCTGGGTATTTTGGTCAAATTTTCCAACCTTGCGCTCATTTTTAAACGCTCGACCTTCAGGTTCCTCTAAGATCCGTGGGCTCAGACATGGAGGCCCGTTGGCTTCCTTTTGGTTTAACCTCCTTGGAAACAGCTTCATCAATAGGAGGGATGAACGTGTGGGACTTTGTGCTGCTGAAGGTCCGTCTGTGCACGTGCAAATAAACCTGGTACCAAATAAACGTCTACAGTATTTGTTAATACTCAACATTATCTCAACACGAACAATAAATCAAACGACAAGCTTCTGAAACTAACATCCTGCTCTGTGCATCAGAGTGCAGTCAGGGAGTGACAGACACAGGTGTGTGGTTACCGTGGTGACCAAACAAAGTCACCGGCAGCAGCTTTAACGTTTCTTTTGCTCTTTGTGCTCCTTACTCTTCCTCTAAAGTTTAAACATAAAACTGCCGGACATTTTGTAATCCCATTATCGCAACAGGAAGTCCCGTTTTATAATTTTATGATTACAGTTTGAGGCAGGAGCTCCTCATGTACGTCCAGAAATGACTGATCACAGTTTGACTCGATGTTAGAACATCCTGCTTCCCTCAGAAAACATCCGGTAAAATCCGGTCCGACCGCAGGTTTGTCTTTAATTAAGGGCCGCCTCGCTGCTCTTCCTTCCCTCGTCATTAAGACCTGCAGGTGTAACTAGGCAACAGAGACAGGAGGAAACTAAACCAGCAGGAGGACGAGGGGGACGTCAGGTAGAAATGGACACCAGGTGGACGTGATCAAAGATGGACGCACCGCGTTTGGACCAGTCTGACTTCATGTGACTCAGTTTAAAAGCAGCGTTTTAATTTTCTTTACACAATCCTTTCCTTTAATCTCAGTTTAATCCAATTTAGGCGTTTGATCAGGAACACCATAACAAGCGTTGACGTGCGCGCTCCTGCTGGACCTGTCTCTGTCGTGGTTCGGGTGTTTTCTGAGAGGAGCTTCAAGCCGTGACAAGGTGCCGTACAAACACGTACCACTGAGAGGTGAAGTCCACAAACTCCGGGGAGAACTGGTCTGCAGGAAGCTGGGGCGAAGGTTCTTCCACCACCTGCTTCAGCTGCTGAAAGGGCGTTCCCCACGTGTCGTACGGGAAGCGCAGGATGGCGAGCTCGATCTGAGGCCGCAGGAACGGCGTGGTTTCAACACGGACAGGAAACGAAGGAAACAACTGTCAGGTCAGGCAGCAAGAGTTCGGCGAACGGCTCGTTAAACGCCCGTCAACAAACTGTTACACAGAAATCCACTGCCTGGACAAGATAAGGCCCGGCATAACTTTGACCTTGATTTGTGACCTTGACCTTGGAGCTGGAGTGATGAACGTGTACGTGACACTCTGTCTAGTTATGACGCAGAAGTGCATGAAGGTTCGTTAAATTATCTTGAGCAGATCAGATGTTATGGGCGGGACAAGAGAAAGTTTATGGACGGAGAAAATACCATAATAATAATAAGATAATAATAATAATAATAATGACAATAACATAATAATGATGATAATAATAATAATAATAATAACATAATGATAATAATAATGATGATGATGATGATGATAATAATAATAATGATGATAATGATAATAATAATAATGATGATAATGATAATAATAATAATGATGATAATAATTATAATAATGATCATGATAATAATAATGATGATAATAATAATGATAATGGTGATAATAATGATAATAATGATATAATAATAATAATAATGATAATAATAATGACGATGATAATAATAATGATGATAATGATGACAATAATTATAATAATAATGACAATAATAATAATAATTATATGATAATAATAATAATAATAATGATGACGATGATGATGATTATGATGATGATAATAATAATGATGATAATGATGACAATAATAATGATAATAATAATGATGATCATGATGACAATAATTATAATAATAATAATAATGACAATAATAATGATAATGGTGATAATAATAATAATTATAATAATTATATGATAATAATAATGATGATGATGATGATGATAATAATAATGATGATAATGATGACAATAATAGTAATAATAATGATGATTACAATAATTATAATAATGATAATAATAATGACAATAATAATGATAATAATTATAATAATTATATGATAATAATAATAATTATTATTATTATTATGATGATGATGATGATGATGATGATGATGATGATTATGATAATAATAATGATGATAATGATGACAATAATAATAATAATGATAATAATAATGATGACAATAATTATAATAAAGATAATAATAATGACAATAGTAATGCACGTGCACCTTCGACGGGCACATAAAAAGTATCTAGCAGCTCCTGACTCCACTTTGTGTCCATCTCTACTGTTTTGTTTGCTGCGGATGAATAAAAGCATTTGATGAAGGCGAGGCGCTCTTACCATGGTGATCCCTAAACTCCAGATGTCAGACTTCACGTTGTAGCCTTTCTGGTTGGTTTCTGGGTTGATCCTCTCCGGCTGAGGAAGGAAACAGGTAACACGGTGATGATGTCACTTCAACCAGCCAATCAGCAGCTGCGCAGACTGAACGCACCTCATCAAGCGCGGCTCACGACGGTAACGAGAGACTTGAGAAGTAAAAAGCTTTTAGTGCTAAAAACTGAAATCGCTCTTCTGTTCCTGCTGATTATTAATAATTCCAGATCTTGTATTTGTTTTACAATGAATGAACATTAAAGCATCTACATGTTTTCTTTTAAATTAAAGTTCAAAACAAGAAGTTCCTTCCTGTTTTCTTTGGGAGACAGCTGGATTTCAACTCCCTGCAGACTCATGCTGGGTCACGGCAGGTCTCTGGTCTCTGGTCCTTGGTCTGGCACAGACAAACTCAACAGGTTTTGATTTAAAAACATGTTTTTAAAACCTGAAATAATCCGTCTACTTCCTGTATGTTTGTAACAAACGGTGACAAGCATGATGGGATTCAAATAAGTTCTTAAACTGAGCCCAAACTCTTTAAATGCAACAGTCAGTGAGGCTGCACTGAAGGTTAAAGGTCAAATCTAGAACAGGTTTCTGACAACACATTCACTAATTTACCATCTTTAAAGAGAACTTTCAGCTATTTCTCAACTCATGACACTAACCCAACGACAAAAGGACAATAATATACTTTTCATGTGTCTGTTGAACCACTGGGTGGATTTTAATGAACCACTCAAACAGTAGTCACTGGATATACAGCTGGTCGACAGAGACGAGCAGATTCAATATGGCTGCCACAGCCAACAGACCTCAGGAAACACTAAAGTGGCTACAACTCCGTCAGCTTCACAGCTACTGAGCTAAAGTTTGGTGTGGTAGTAGCCGAGAGTCGTCTCCAACAGATACTCTGAGAAGTAACGCTTCATTATTTCACAACGTTACAAGAGATTGGACCCAAATGGAATGAATGTTTCAGTCTTTCTCCCTCCTTAGATGCATTAATCTGTCCTCCAGCTCTAATGTTAAAAATCTTGGTGTTATTTTTGATCAGGACATGTCTTTTATCCCCCACATTAAAAACGTTACTAGAACCTCCTTCTTCCACCTGCGTAATATCACTAACATTAGAAACATCTGATCTAAAGATGATGCAGAAAAACTGGTCCATGCATTTGTCACGTCTAGACTGGACTATTGCAATGGTTTATTATCTGGGTGTCCAAATACTTCTTTAAAACGTCTTCAGTTGATCCAACATGCTGCTGCCAGAGTCTTAACTGGAGTTACTGGGAGAGATCATCTCTCTCCAGTTTTAGCTTCTCTCCATTGGCTCTCTGTCAAATCCAGAATAGAATTCAAAATCTTACTTCTAACCTACAAAGCTCTCAACAACCTAGCTCCATCTTATATTACAGATCTTATTGTTCCATATTTTACTAACAGAGCACTTCACTCTCAGACTGCAGGTTTACTTGTGGTTCCTAGAGTTTCCAGCAGCAGAATGGGAGGAAGATCTTTCAGTTCTCAGGCTCCTCTCTTGTGGAACCAACTTCCAGTTTCTGTCCGTGAGGCTGACACATTGTCCAGTTTGAAGACTGGGATTAAGACTTTCCTTTTTGATAAATCCTATAGTTAGAGTCGGCTTGTTATGCTGCTATAGACTTAGACTACTAGAGGACAAACTGACCTCATTTCCTTAAATTAATTGTTAAAACTGAATAATTTTCATTTGATACTATTTCTAGCTTAACATGTGATTCTTGACCTGCCATTGTGTATCTATTCCTACCAAACCCAGCCGGTGGAAGCAGATGGTCCTCTTGTCCTGATCCTGGTTCTGCTAAAGGTTTCTTCCTCATGAGGGAGTTTTTCTTTCCACTGTCGCCTTCATGCTTGTTCAAGATGAGAGTTCTGTGATGGAGTTAAACTCAAAGCTGCTCCTCAGATAAATAATGTTCAATTATTATTTTATAGATGAATGTTTCTGTTCAATTATTATTTTATAGATGAATGTTTCTGATCAATTATTATTTTATATATGAATGTTTCTGTTCAGAGCCTGAGACGACTTCTGTTGTGACTTGGAGCTTTAGAAATAAACTGAACTGAATTGATAAAACACGCTAAATCAATACAAAAATCAATGTGAGCGTTGGCGGGCTCTTTGTGACGGGGCCGTGAGGCTCTGCAGCTAAAGCTGAAAAGTTTAGAGGTTAAAACCTTTGTTAGCAGCTCTGGTTCTGCTTACCGCCATGTAGGGTTTGCAGCCAGCATCCATTGTTTTCGCCACAGAGTCCACCAGGTAGCCGCTGATGCCGAAGTCGCACATCTTCACCTGGCCCTGAGTGTTGATCAGCACGTTGGAGGGCTTCACATCTGGACAAACCACAGAGCAAACAGCAAAAAGTTAGCTTGGCTTAAACGAGCGCCTCGAGTTTCACTAAAAGATCATCGAACAGGACCACCGGACATCCTGGAAAAAAGTGGACATTAGTGTTTTTCTGCCGGAGCATCCCACTGTGCTTCATGTTGGCAGGAGACGTTAATAAAACGCCATCAGACGCCGTGCGGAGGCTTTCTGTGGTTGTTCCATGACAGATGCAAAGAACCAGCTGATGTGCCCCGTCTCTGAGGGATTTGAATGTTTGTAGCTTTCAAGATGAGTGTTTTTCTGAACTGGACTTGAAGTAGACCTAAATGTTTTTGGTGCAACAGGTTCAAGTGGGGCGGAGTTACACTGTGGAGAAGAACAGGTGTTTAATTCTTGTCTGAGGCGGCGCAGAGTGACGGATCCTGGAGTGAGGAGGGAGACATTTACCCACCACCAGGTGCAGTGGAGGAGCCGGGGGGTGGCCACTGGTGGCCTTGGCCCCATAGATTTATCCTCAATCACCCCAGTCATTTGAGGAAACTAAACTTTTAAGTAATATAAAAACTAGAAAGCAAAGTTTTCTTAAATAATAGTGGTGGCTGGTTTACATAT